AAGGAGGGGGGGGGGAGTTTCCTCAAGTCTGGCAAGTCTCTAAATGAAGTTTATTTAATTATTGATTATAGAGAAAGATGTGCTTGCAAAATCGAAGGACTGCTTTTAACTTTAGGTTTTTAAACCTAAATACCCAAAAACGTAAGTTATTTTCCCCATGAGCACATACATAGTTGAAGCTTTCCTCTTCTTCAAAGGTTTCTGCTTTAAAAGCTAATACAGAATGACCTTTTTTGAAAGTTAAGAATAATTTGGTTAGATGAAGTATTCAAATCTTATCCCAACCACTCCAACTACACAAACTAGTAATTTTTTGCAGCAGAATGAAGAACCTAGGTCTTGTTCCTTTTCAAATCAACTCCAGTTACTCCTGTATAATTTACTATAGTACTAGGTGAAGTCTAGCCTAGAATATGTAAGGCCTTGACCACACAAAAAGGTAAGGCCACATCCGTACTATAGTCTTGGCGGGAAGACTAGGCCAGGCCTGGAAACTTAGTAATCAAATGTGTAACCAGATGTAATGATGAATTTACTGCTTTAATCAATTTCAACATACCTTCGGTTTCTTCTTTGTTTCCATGTTTACTCATTTGAAGCAAATGCATGCTTTTGTTTTGAAATATCAGCAAAATACTAGTAGCATCGCTTATGGTAACCTTCATCGCTAACGTAAGGTGTGCATAGGCTAGGCCTAACGTAGGTTCGCCAGTGTTCACATCAATATCGACAACTACAAATTTTTCTGTGAAATTCCTTTCAATTTCAGCCTCATGCTCGGTCGAGTCATGCTACACATGAAAACTTCTTAAGAATTTTCGTCACGTTTGTTCTCCATAGGCTTTTATTTCACCTGAAATTCCTGCAATATATTGTTGCGTCAGCGAGTCACATGACTGGTGTGACGCCACGTTTCTAGAACTATCCCGTATCTTGGCGAATGCTCTAGTATTTACTAGATATAGGGTAGTCGGGTATATAAAAGAGGGGGACAACGTGACGCGGTAATGTGTGTGTAGACAGTGAGTAATTGATCTGCAGTCAGAAGTATTATTGACGTTCGTTGATATAGCGTTTGTTTTAGCGCGATTGTTGAAAATAAGTGTATCGTAAAGTTGTACTCGGAAAGAATAAACCAGTTTTATTAAGTAAAGAACTTGTGTCGCTAAAGTTTCGTCGGAACGAAGTTACGGAAAGATAATTAACAAACGGAGACGTAACAATATGTAAAGCATATCATTTTACGCTAATCGTGAATATCAATAATTGCAAAGCTTTGTTGTCATCGTAGGGTTTTAGTACGTGGTCTGTGATTGGTCATAAAAGTGCAACACACCGAAAGCCTTTGATACATTCTATCTGATTGGTTAAAAAAAATGCATGTTTTTTTTAGAGCAAAAATGGGTTAGTTTTTCCGTTTTTCTCATTAATACGTACTTCCCACATGCGATATCGTTCAGATATGTTTCATTTTCAAATTACCAAGTTTAATTTTGCTAAAAGCAAGTCTCCCATTGATGGGACTACGAAACTAAAGAAGAAAGGGGCATGCCACATAGCCTATATCAAAGCGATAACTAAATAAATCGTTCTTTTTAAAGTTAATGTCAGCATTTGCTTTTATTGTTTCAGGAGAAACGACTCCTTTTTGACATCACAGTGACGTACGAATGTAATTTATCTTTTGAAGAATTACTTTTCTTTATTATTCATTTTTAAGTCTTACTTTTCTTTCCACCTTTACTTCCAATAGGCGTCCGCTCTCACTCCCGATACAAAACACGGCACTCAGAGCCACAGTCAACATCGAGGAAGAATCATACGAAACAAAGAGGGCCCAGTTATTACTATAACGACCAAGATATATGTGAGGAAGCAAGCCTCAAAAAGACAGTACGTTTTAACCGCGATAACGCCACCTCTCGACAAAATTCTGAAGAACTTTGGGACGAACAGCAGACGAAAGATTCTGGTATCGATACCAGCAGCAGTGCCACCTTGAACGAGGATAACAATAATAAGGTACGTATCTGTCCATATTAACCTGTGTGTCAACAAACGTCCAGCATATCAATAAATGAGTGCACCAAAATACTTTGTTTTCAAAACAGTGGACAAATCAAATTATATATGCTAGGTCGGCTCGTGAATAACAGTTGTAAAAATAGAATTAAAAAATTCTATCAAAATTCTTACCTTTGTATGACGAATGATAATTATCAGTTACAAAACTTGATATGCTGAGTATCGTTATCAAGGAAATATTAAGCATAATTATTACACTAATATTATTATAATTTCCCTTTTTAATAAAAGAACTAAGCCACCCAGTGACACAGCGGTATGTCTGCGGACTTACAACGCTAGAAACCGGATTTCATACCCGTAGTGGGCAGAGACATAACAATATTTATTATCATCTCCATGATACTCAGCAAATCATTAAGTAGCTTAACTTTTACTATACCCTCTGTCATGATATACTAGATACATTACTAGACAAAGTAGAGAAGGCATTTAAACTTACATGGAGTTTGAGTGGTGAATATTGTCTACAGACACTAAAGTTGGTTTCAGTTGTGGTGGATACAGTTAATTTAAGGGAGTTTAAGGGAGAGCTTGATAAGTATTTCAATGATAAGGGCTGGATTTGAAATTGTTTGTTTTTATTTTAGAGCATGGGACAACCAAGATGGACCAAAATGGTAGAAACGTTCTTACTCTCCTTTGGAACATTAGGAATGAGGTTGCATTTTCTTGTTAATCTGAAATTTATTTGCTACTTGTAATTGGCTTTGGATTGTACAAGATGAATTTGAATATTTTATCTTTTTCAGCATCCAGTTGGATGGAAGTTATCACTTGATGGGACCAGAATGAGTGGTCATATGATTCTGAAGAAGTCAGTTAAGGAAGGTGAAAGTGGTGCCTCCACAGCTGCCATTTTGGGTCTGAAAGTGGTTGGTGGTAGGTTTCTTGAATCAGGTCGGCTTGGTGCTCTGGTGGAGAAAGTGAAAATGGGGAGTGTAGCAGATACTGTTGGACATCTGCAGCCAGGTGGAAAATGTTTTTGTAGTATTTAAGGCTAGTTTAACTTGTTACATTCAAGTGTGAAAAATACATTAGCTTACAGTTTAACAAATGAGATCCAAATTGCACTTATTCAAGAGTTAATTAAACTAAAACATTCACCAACAACATGTTTTAACTTTATATAGTTTTATTAATGTCAATGCCTTTCTTTGTGCAATTGTGTTAGTATTAAACAGTTTCTTAGCCATGCTTAGTTTTCTATCAGAATTAACCATGGCGTGTGCTGATGGTTAGGGTACTTGACTTGCAATCTGCAGGTTCTGGGTTTGAATCACATCATTAAATGTGCTTGTCATTTCAGTCATAGGGCATTGTAATGTGATAGTCAGTTCCATTATTTGTTTGTAAAAAAGTAACCAAAGAGTTTGCAGAGGGTAGTATCGACTAGCTGCTTTCCCTCTAGTCTATTACTGCTAAATTAGGGATGGCTAGTGCAGATAGCCCTCGTGTAGCTTTGCTCAATGTTTAAAACAAACCAAACAAATCTATCAAAATTAACCGATACAGTTTGGTTTATATGCTGTACAGATTGGTGTAGAATTATCGTCTTAAACAAGCCTGTAAAACTGAAATAAAAGTGGGCAATTTTTTGCCCACAAGTTCTTTTTACTTGAGTAAAACTAAACAAATATATTTGAAACTGTTTTACTTGAATAATTCTTTTTATTACCCAGTTACACCTGAATTCATTGCACTTCTAAATCCAGCTAATCTATTAAATCTGTTGTTGCAGGAGATGAAGTACTTGAGTGGAATGGCCACTCTCTACAGGATAGAACCTACGAAGCAGTGTTTGAATTAATTGCTGAGTCAAGAGAAGACCACCAGGTGGAGATGACAGTGAGTAGGCCTGTACGGTAAGAAGTATTTCAATTGTATGTTCAGGTGCAGTATTAAAAGGTTCAATAAATGTAGGTTTTTTTCGGTTTATGGGCCAGGCTTTTTTAAATGTCCATTTCTCAACTGGAAGATGTTGAAAAAAAACTTCTCCTATAAATATGATTTATACAGTTCTTGAAAACATAACTACTGAAAAACCTTGTACCAAAAATCTAGCACTCGAGCTACATTCTGTCATATTTTCCACCTTGATGAAGATGACTACTGTTTTCCACATGTGTTCTTCTTTACCAGATTATATTGTACCAAGAATAAAAAGGTAAAAACAAACAAACTGTAAAAAGGTTTTCCCTTCTGCTGCCTTTTTTTCTGTGATAATATT